TTGAAATGTCTTCTCCACTTGTCTTGCAGTGGTTTTATATTTTCCAGTGTTTGTGCTATATTCCATTTCCCTCATTTTTGACAGCTATCTTTTTTTGTTCCTAATAGCCTTCCCCATTCTGCTACTTAACTTCTTTGCTTTTAAAAATTCCTTTAGGGTCTTTATTAAGGAGTGTTACATATTAAGCTGGAGCCTGTACCATATCTTTAAGCTGCTGCCAGGGTATTTGAAAGTATTTTATCCTTTTAGCTTTTCCACTTATTTTTTAATGCAATTCTCCTCTCTAAATTTTAGGTGGTACTATGAATTGAGACCATTACATGCCGTGGTGGAAAATTAAGACAATAGGAGAGATTCTCAAGTGGGGTAAGGAAAAGGAAATCTGTTTTAGCCTGACCTAAGTTAGGCACTGAACCCCTGAAACATGGACTGAGAGGCTCCCCCAAACATGCTAATCTTGGAATTGCATCAATATGAGCAATCAGATCCTATTTTTCCTGTAATTTATTTATTAAATCTACTTTTAAAACACCTGCTGCACTTTCTTCTGCTATTTCTACTTGGTGGCTGCTTGAGAGTCTCACTCACCTGCCAGCTGGACACTTTCCAGCCTGGAAGGTATCACCCACCCAGGTGATACCTGCTTGATTCTAACCTTAGAGCTGACAGAGTTTTTCTCCTTTCCTGGGAGAAAGTAGAAAAATTAAATTGTTATTCCCCTCCCTGGAGCACCAAATCCAGGCTGTTGCCACCCCAGAGTTTAATTTTCCCATTCCCAACCATCCCCACTGATGGCTGAACATAAAGCTGATCCCAGGCCTGGAAACCTCTCTATGAACCAGGACTAGGAATGGAAACCTTTATTCCAATTTATGCTCTGATCCCATGTGCCATGAGTTCCACGTGCAGTGGAAGCTGCAGGTGTGATCCAGGGGCTGTTTAAACTCACAGGATCCCAGAATGGTTTGGGTTGGAAGGGGCCTTAAATCCCATCCCATCCCACCCCTGCCATGGCAGGGACACCTTCCACTGTCCCAGGGTGCTCCAAGCTGGCCTTGGACACTTCCAGGGATCCAGGGGCAGCCACAGCTTCTCTGTGCAACCTGTGCCAGGGCCTCTCCACCCTCACAGCCAAGAATTTCATCCCAATATCCCATCTAAATCTCCCCTCTTTTACTTTAAAAACCTCTTTCCGTACTTTTGAAGCCCATTCCCTAAGCCCCAATTCATAAAAGCACTGAAGCACACTCAGAGTCCAGCACATCTGGAAGTACTTTGCTGAATTAGAGACTTATTAATCTTCCTGCATTTAAAATAACTTTTTATTACATTTAAAAAATAAATGGGCATGTACTATTTCTTCATGTTTGGGAATTTATTTTTTTTTTTCAAACATTGATTTTTAATGCTCGCCTAGCTTGGCTGGATATTCCTCCATCCAGCCAAGCAGCTGCTTGTGCTAAACCTGTGAGCAAAATCCCTCTTTCAATATTGATGCAGCCTAGAAGGAGCTCCAAGTTATCTGTGGCTCCCACTTTTAGTTTTTTTGTGGTTGGAAAACAACCCAGCCTCCCTTCAGCGCCCTGAAAAGCCACCCTGAGACACCCCAAATCCAAAAGGGAAGGATGTTTTCAGCTGAAAAGTAGCAGAGTGCAGCTGTGGGCTTATTTTGTAATTATTTCAATGGGTTTGGGGGAAAAATACTAGCCAAGTGTTGCTTGTACTAGTTGCAAAAGGAATTTTTTGGAGCTGGGGGAAATAGAGGGGCTGGGATTTGGGGTTGGGATCTGTGTGGCACAGGGAGCTGTGTAATGTGTGCCAGAGCTGCTGCCTCCTCCTGGCTCTGCTTCATTAGCCAAAAGGTAGAAATTTTAATTATTAAACAATTCTAAGCAGGTTTCCAGTGCTGGCAGCTATTGGTCTTTGGGAATTGAAATGAGAAAACCTAAAATTTGGCAAGAAAAGACTCAACAGCCCTCAGAATACCTTGTGGGGCTGGGACTGATCTTCCCTCAGCCTAAAACACCCCGTGGGCAGAATGAAGAGATTGGACATGGACAAATAAAACACATTTTCAAGGAAAAAGAATAATGGATCAGCCCAAGCTCAGGGTTTATGTCATAGTGTCCCACCACAGGTCCATGGCAGCACAGCTTATCCACCTCCTACAAACACCACAGATGTAAATATTCCCCTGTGAATCCCACTGGGATCTTTTTTCCCTGCACATTCATTTTTCAGCAATGCCAAGAAGAGCATTTTCTGTATTTAATAATTTTTTCAGCAGTGCAAACCAGTGCATTTTCTGTAGTCATGGAGTGGGAATCACTTCTGTGTTTAACAACAGCAAATGCACTGGTTTGTGTGCTAGGAAAAAAAAAAATCTAGGTTTGGGAAAAGGGTGCAGAGCTGCCCAGCTTCCCCCTGTTTTCCAAAAAGAGCAGTGTTAGAAAATGAGGGAGTGGAAAAGAGGGGCAAACTCAGCCCTCCAGTGTCCTTCCTCATCCCTCCATCCCCAGGTGGGAGCAGTAAAAGGTGCTCTAAGTCCAGATCCATCCCTGACTTGTGAAAGCCCATCTGAGCTGAGCTGCTCGGGAGCATTTTTTGGAAGATTACTGGAGTTTGTTAATGCCATGTGAAAGCCAGGCTGCCGGGAAGGTCTTGCTTTCAGGGGAGAGATGCAGAAATTGAAGAGGATGCAGCCAGGAGCTTTGTTTTCCACGCTGTTTTTGGGAATTTATTTGTTTCCTTTGACAGTGACTTACAGCCCGGCTTTCTTTTCTATTTTGTTAGAGCAATAAAGAAGATAAATCTATAATAATTCAGCTCCCTGTCTTCAATAAAATCTTGTCTTCTTCACACAGCCCCTGGGAAGATCTCCATTTTGCAGCCCTTCGAGATTGGTTGTGTTTTTCCATTTCACCTCTTCACTGAAACGACAGAAAAATAATATTACCAGTAAAATTAATAGCTAAATACAATTTCTGGCAGAGGGAAGCTTTCGGCAGGAGTAGCTGTGACTGTGCTGGCCCCAAGGATGCTCTTCAGCAAAGGTGGATGCTCCCATTGCTTTTGTCTTTGATAATGGGTTGGAAACCTCAAATATCAGCTAATGAGAGTTTCAATCCTCGGCACGGATTAACATCAAGCCAATTTTTGTTGATTTTGGGCTTTAGTCAGGTGCAGAGGACAAAGGAAAGGGGATGTTGGTGGGGGAGACACCGAGGCAGCAAAATACTCTTGGAAGTTGTAATAAATGAAAATTTGTCCGGCCAAATTAAAATGAAAAAATAAAATATTTATTTTGCAATCGAATTCTATCTAGCCAGCCACAAGGAAAGAACAGTGCCGAGCCCGGGGTCAGCCCTGGGTGTGCAACAAGGGGTCAGCCTCAGCAGAGGTTTTCCTCTATGCCCACACACCTCCATCCTGGCACAAAAGGGTTTGATAGGGAAAATTCTGCCTGAGGCCAGGATTTCAGCAATCAGTCCTTTCTTCTATTCAGAGTCCCATAGTTTGATGAGATTTCTTTTCTTGGCGAAGAGGTAGAACAATTCGATGTCAGGAGTTGGTGAATCCCTTGATGAAATTTAGGGGAACGCTGCATTCACATGTATCTGCGATGATCAGGCCTGGGTATCCCCATATCACAGCCATCTCCAGAGAGCCACATCCTTTTTCTTGTAAATCGGGTTTCAACATACACCAGGTTTCGCCTGCGAGGGTGGGGGGGACTCCTAATACAAACGTGTACACTAACAAATATTCAATATCACATATATCATACTAGAAATGGCGCAAATTATATCTACTACACACAGCAAAGTCATGGAATGGGTCGGGAAGGACCTGAAAGAGCAGTAAAGAACAAAGGGAGTGAGGGCATTTCTGTCCCCTCAGACAGGAATTTCTGTCCCCTCCAGAGGAGGCAAAAGGAATTTCAACATTTCATTTTTACCATTAAGAAAGACAACGAACAAAAAGCTTAAAGATCACGAATTTCACTCCCCACAGAACTGTTGAGGTAACATTTTTGTTATATGGGGAAGACTGATGTGAAGTGGGATTAACAGGCATGAGTCAGTAAACATATTCTTAATATTTATTCTAGATCTTCGGGCAACCTAGCAGCATAGTTTCTTCCAGAATTCAATAGGCATTTAAAGATGCTGTCAAAGGAGACAGTTTTACCCAGACCCAAGTTCATTCCTAACCTCAGAACTTCCCAAAGCTGTATCGGGCCAGCAACAACCATCACACTTTCTAGGTCAGAGCTTGCCTCTCTCTTGGACCTTTGAAGACAGCCTTGGTGGCATCTGGAAGAATAATCACAGGCCCTGCACAGCACCAGCTCACACTGCAGGTAAACTCTGGGGTGAGTAATAAGCAGCATAGGTGGGATCTTTGACACACCTAAAAAGGAACAAAAAATAAAACCCTGTGATGAATACACGCGGCAGAAGAGGCTGGGACGTGGCTGCAGGGCTGGGGGCCGGGAGGTGGGGCAGGAGAGCCCCGTGAGGGCACTCCCGCCATGGCTCTGAAGGTGAGAGCCCACAGAAGGCGCAGCGAGGGGCGGCCGCTCCCTCAGGGCAGGAGGGCACCCGGGACCCTGCAGCGATCGGGGGGAGCACTGCAGAACCCCCGGCCCGGACAGGAGGAGACGCGGCCCCGCAGTGACCCAACCCTGGGTCTGGAGACACGCTGGAAGGATGCCGGCGGCACAAGGGGATCGAGAGCCGCACAGGCGATGCGGAACGCGGGCTGAGGGAACCCCTCGGCGACCCCAGGGTGCGCGGCCCCTTTAAGAGCGGCCGGGTCGCCTTTACTCTATGTTTACATAACACGGCCGGGCCGTACCACTGCTGCTTAAACGGGGGGACGCACCCGCGCGCAGCCCCGCCCCGTCCGCCGGCCGTTAATAGGCGCGGGGTGGGCGGGGTCTCGCCACCCCGCGGCGGGTTGGTCCGTCCCCGCGTGGCCCCGCCCCCCGCGCCCCCCGCGCTGTAGTGGCCGTTGCCGGCGGCCGGCGGCGCAGAGCGGAGCGGAGCCCGCTCGGGACGCGCTCCCCTGGCGGCGGCGCGGACGGGGGCGGCCGGTGCTGCCACAGCGGCGGCCCCATGTTTTCCCCCGGCCAGGAAGAGCTGTGCGCGCTGAACAAGGAACCCATCAAGTACGGGGAGCTGGTGGTGCTGGGGTGAGTGCCGGGAAGGGAGAAGCGCGGCGGTCCCGGAGCGGCGGGGGCTGCCCGCCGTCTCCGCGCTGCGAGGGAGCGCTCGGAGCTGGAGGGGGCGCGTGGCGCTTCCCGCCTTCTCCGCGGCCGCTGGAGGCGGGGGGGCGATCCCGGTGCCCGAGGGGAGCCGGGAGGGATGGATGGAGGGGTGGGGGTGCGGGTGGGGGTCCCGTTGCCTGAGAGGAGCGGGGAGGGATGGAGGAGTGAAGGGGGGGAGGTCCCGGTGCGTGACGGGGCGCGCGGTGCGGCCGTTGCGGGGACCCGGTACCGGTTGCCGCTTGCCGGTGAGGAGCGGGGAGGGAGGGAGGGATGGATGGGGAGTGGTCCCGTTGCTGGAGGGGAGCGGGGAGGGACGGATGGATGGATTGGGGGGTGGTCCCGGTGCCTGCGGGGATGGATGGATGGATGGCGGGGTGGTCCCGGTGCCGGGGGGACGGACGGAGCGCGGTCCGGCCGCTCTCGGGCATCGAGGTCGCGGCGGGGCTTGAGGAAAAACTTCTTGCGGGGCCTGGGGGTGCGGGGTTACGGCACACAAACCCCCCGCTCCCCCTGCGGGCCCCGTCCCTCCGCCGGTGCCGCCGTCCCTCGGCCGCTGCGCTCCGGGAGACGGCGTCCTCCTTACAGATGGCGGGGATGATGACTTTGGAACGGGGAGGGTGAAGCGCTTATACTCAGATTCGTCGTGGAAATGTTTATTTTCTCGGCTTGATACGGATCTTGAAGTAATCCGCTTGGCATTACGCTGTTGCCCTGCTGTTAAAGCTCGCAGCCGCTGTGCTGAGCGCCGCGGAAGCAGATGAGAGGGAAGCGTCTAAGCCGTGCTTGCTGAGAGCCCTCGCAACCTCAGAAGAGATGCTTAATTTTGGTAGTTCAATGCGTGGCAACGTGTGGTTAATGGAGTAGTTTTTTCGGTGCTAAACACAACGGAAAGGTTTGGAGCAGCACGGTCACAGCCTCGCTGCGTTACTCAGCCTCCCCCAGAATCTGGTACATATTTGCTGCAAGGTCGTAGAAAAACCTATTCTGGTTTCTTTTTTTTTTTTTTTGTTCTGTATCGGTGCTTTCCTTTGCAGAAGAACTGTTTGGAAAAGAGCAGTCCAGGTTGGGTACTCTTATCCAGTAATGCACCTTTTTTCCTTAAGGGATGCTGAATGTTTCCTGTCACGAGACTGGGTCAAGACGCAGTTACCGTGGAATAAAACGCAGCTGCTATCATGATCGTGGCGTGGCTGGTTCTTGAAATCCTTGAATTTAAGTCCCTTGCTTCGTGAGGAGTATCCATAGCACACTAAATTTAATAAAGAAACGTTCTCACTGTTTCAGTTGTGGCAGTGGAGGGTGAGCTCAGCTGTGCAACACTGTCTCTGACAATAAAGTCATAGTATAATGCAGAATCTTTAATTAAATTAGAGTGCATAAATTGATGTTGTGCTGCAGAGGCTCTTTGTGCACAGCTGGAAGCATTTTCCTTTCTGTTGCTTTACTATTTTTAGCAGCAGTTGAAAGTACAGAAGTATGAAATGTTTTGGCTCTGATCTTAACCTGGCAAAGTCTGGTGCGCTCTGCCTTTAATATGGGGGCGCATTGATCTTGGCTTATCGGTTCTGCTGGGCTCTTGATCTTCGCTGTGTGTGTTGAAACGCACCAATAAAATCGAAATAAAATGTATATGGCTGGGTTTAGGTCCTGTTTGAGTTTCAGCTGGTCTCTGAAACTACTGAGGCTGCATCTTGTAGGTGTAAGATGCACTGAAAATGCAAACAGATGCTGTTGTCCTTGCAGTGCAGCCAGGGACAAGAAGTCTGTGCGAGGGAGCTGAGTGTCCCTGTGGCTGCACTCAGACAATGTGGCACTGGCTGTCACTGCTCACACAATGGGATGTAGGGCTAGGTAGACCAGATGGAAGCAATCCAGGAAATCTCATGACTTCTGCAACTGCGTTTTTAAATTTTAGACCGAAGACTGTTGTTTTAAGAGCCCTTTGCTGCTTCAGGAGTTCATTACTGCCTGTCCTATCAGAGGTGTCTTAAATGTTTGTAGTGCCATAAATAATGTAAACATCCCTCTCTTTGGTGACTCAATATTTGTGACTAGGAACTCTTGGAACAGCTTAAGCTGTTCAGTATGCTGAAAAAACCACTTAATACCTGTTTTGTATTAAAGTCTTGTAATCTGGAGTTTCATTTAAATAAGACAATGTAAATCTGCTCTCCTCCCTGCAGTGACACTGAGACCTGGGGACCAGCACAAGCGTACTGTTGCAGCTCCTGTTACAGCTGCCTGATTAAAATTGATAGAGCAGCCTCGCAGCTAGGTTTAAAAAAAAAAAAAAAGAAAAAGCTGTTTTGAGACACTGTGTGGGTTGTTTTTTTTTTTAAAAAGAAGCCTTGATTGTGATGTTGATGAATAACTTGTGTCTTGAACTGTGAGACTTTTAAATTAGGTGGTGAAAAGGATGATGAACAAAGGAATTGGCATACCTGGCAAACTGCTGAGCTCCTGTTTTTAAGATGACAAAACTTTCCCTTTATCTTTTGCTCTCACTCTGCCTTAGCAATATTCAAGTGGGGTTGCTGTACCTTGACCTTTAAATCGAGGGGAAGGCGTGTTTTTTTGGCAGGAGGTGGCTCTCCCAGCAGGGCACGTTCCTCATTGTCTCAATAGTTGGGATTGCTCAGTCTGCACCTCAGTGTGAGCCCCAGTAAAGCCCGAGGCGTTTCGTGTCGAAAACACATTTCTGATTAACCTTCTCCCAGCTCTGTGCTGGCAGTGATGTGGCAGCGTATGTTTGGTTAAGGTTTTGCCGAGGTTTACATAATCAATGTTGTAGTGAATAGAAACAGTTTATGTAAATCGAGCCAGACAGGTCAAGACGGCTGGTAAAGAAGAGATCATCTGCTTTATTGTGAATCTGCTTGTGTACATCTGCTCGTAGCATCATCTGCTCACAAAAGGCTCTGGATTTCTTGGTGAAGCAGAAACATTCATATTCTAATTCTTTTTGAAGGAAAAAAAAAAGAAAAGAAAGCATTGTTTGAAGTCCTGTCAAAGTAATGGCTCATTATATATTTCTTGGAACGTGGGGCTGGAGGGAGTTAAGGAGATGCTGAATGCAGTACCGAGTACCTGAATAGTGTCAGGGTGTTTGTTATTGCTTTTGTTTGACTTATCTAGTGCCTTAATGTTTTGGCCCCTTGTTCCTGGTGCCCCTTTGTCCCCTAACTGGAAATTGTGCCCTTTATTCCAGCAGTGTCACTTCTGCGACTGTCACTGCAGGCAGGTGTCAGTGCCCTGCTGCCCTTAAATCCTTTGGGACTGCACGATGGGAATGGGCAGCTGTGACCTCTTAGGAAAGTCCCTTAATTAAAATAATGTAAATTGAAGGAGGAACAGCAAGGAGACACGAGCTGTAGTCAGTGGCAGAATTCTGTAGCAGTGAAAGATTCGTACCTGACACTGAATGCTTTATTTGGATGGGGTTTCTGGTAGCTGTGTACATGTAAATGGAATATTTCTTATTAACCAAAGGCTTTCTTGGTGTTTGCTACTCCTTAGCGAGGAGGTGCAGCCTGGTGCATCCTCAGCTGAGGAAGACTTTGTTATACAGATTTAGTGGATTTTCCAATATCTAATTAATTTTTAAAATTTAACCAAACAAAGCTCTAAGGGCTGTTCCTCATTGTTACAGTAGTCATTTTGAAATTGCTGTCAACATTTTACTTGTAAATTTTCCATTGACTACCAGTAAAATTAATTAATTAGTTAATTTGGAGGCTTCAGTGCTGTGAGTTATGTGAGCATTGTTTAATTGGATTCTTGGACATCCTTGAATAAACAGGCTGTAGTTCTGCTTTAACTTTTTGAAAAAGTACAATGAAAGGATCGGTCTTGGAGCAGCGTGGTCTGGTGGAAGATGGCCCTGCCCATAGAAAGGGGTTGGAACCAAATAGTTTTTAAGGTCTCTTCCAACCCAAACCACTCTGGGATTCTACAAAAATTCTCACTTGTGTTTACAGTCCTACATTCTGTGATAATTTTTGGGAAGCTCTTCTCTATGATGGACCACTTTATAGTTGAAGCACCTTTAGATCTGAAACAGTCCTTTTGTATTAATCCAAAGAGACATGCGTTTTTAAATTCCTATTTTTCATACTGTCTCTTTCTGACTGATCAGAATTCCCACTATCACCACCTTCTTGCAGGGTAAATAAGGTTTCTGAAGTATCTTCTGCTTATAAAGGCATTTCTATTTTTTTAACTTTTACCTTTCTGACTTTTGAAGTCACTCATGTCCATCTCTTGCTGTGCAGTTTGGGAAGAAGCCAGTGCAGGTTTGCAGTGGTGTTGACATGTGCAGAAGCAGTTTGGGATCTCTGCTTGTCCTTGGGTGGTGTTTGCTGCTGTGTATGGACTGAAGGAGGAGGCAGAGTCATCCTGGCTGTGGAATTAAACTGGGGACTTAGTTTGCACATAGATGGATTTGCTGATACCAGACTGAGGCTTGGTTTAATGACTTGGTGGTTTCCTGCTCTGTCTGCTATAGATATATTGGTGAAACTGCTTAGGTGACTCGAGTTCTGCTGTTAAGCCTTATTTAAAAATGTACTTTAGGTTTCATTTAAAGGAGTGACTGCAGCATATAATGGGAACTACCAGTTAAATGTGTTCAAGGTCATGATTCTCTGAGAGTCATTGGCTCCAGCAGTTATAGCTGGAAGGCTGCTGTTCTGGAGGAGCAGATTTGATTTTTTTTCTTTTTTTTTTAATTTTTCTTTTTCATATTGACAGTGGCTCTCAGTGACCTTTATGTCTTGTGCTGGGTTTATGGTGGATCTTACATGTGCATATTGCAAATGCGTCATCAGGGTCAGTTCAGAACTTGCAAGGAGATTAATCAAACACCAGAAGAATTGTGTGTGAATAGAACATTAACTGCAGTGTAGGGAAACAGTGGAAAGGATTAT